GATCCTGTCAAGAATTCTGTTTAAGGTATGCCCCCCCTCCAAGAATAACAAATAATTTTCTACTGATGCCCTTTTTTGTGATGGGGCTACAGAGTTTTTCATCAGCATTAATCACCACAAAGCCAAATGGCCTGTCAGGTTACCACAAAAACAGGTAATTTTCAAACATATGTTTCTCTATGTCTTTATTCTCTCTTAGTGGGTTATGTTATTCCTGTACTTCTTGTGTATGTCTATATATTTAATGGCAGCTGTTGTCAGGTGAAAGAGTTTATTCTGCCTGGCCTCATCATGTCTTTGAAAAACAATAAAAAACTCTCCTTTAAGGGCTTTATTCTGAAAAACATCAAAAGTGCAGTTTTATTGTTAGTGAAACTATTCTACTAATTTATTAAGAAATGTTTGGTAGAGAAAATTAGAAGCTAGACTTCCATAAAAAGCAAACTGTGTTAGTTCAGGCACAAAGTTGTTTAAAATTTGTCCTGGGAATAGTGTTGATAAGGCAGGGATGTTTTAGTTATTGCTGAGCAGTGCTTACACAGATCCAAGGCCTTTTCTGCTTCTCACCTCACCCATGAGGAGTCTGGGGGTGCACAGGGAGGTGGGGGGGACACAGCCAGGACAGCTGATCCCAGCTGACCAAAGGGATGTTCCAAATCATACAGGTTCATGCACAGCAGGTAAAGTTGTGGGGAAGAAGAAGGGAGGGGAGTATTCCAGAGATGGCTTTTCTCTTCCCAAATCACCATCAGGCCTGACAGAGCCCTGCTCTCCTGGAGGTGGCTGAACACCTACCCGCCCATGGGAAGTCATGAATTAATTCCTTGTTTTCCTTTGTTTGCATGCATGGCTTTTGCTTCACCAATTAAAATGTCTTTATCTCAAGCCACATAGTTTTTTCACTTTTCTGATTTTCTCCCCCATCTCTGGGAATGAGTAAGGGAGCAGCTGCACAGTGCTGAGTTGCTGGCTGGGGTTAAACCATGACAGCTGAATAAAGAAGGGAAAAAGTCCTTCCTATTAACCTGGGCTAAATAAGTTGTAAAATGTAAGTTATGTACATTTCAAGACTAAGTTTACAGGTTCTCAAAAGGAAGCAGCTGTTTTCAGTTGTGAAACACCTACAATGTGTAGGCAGGAAGGTGGGGACAGCCAGATGTGGAGTCTGGAAGAGGGCAACATAAATGGCATTAATACCAGACCTGGTCTCTGCTGCTTGCATGTCAGTACAGATTTGAACCAGCTTGAATTTGGGCATGGAACCACTTTTCAACTTAGACACTTTTGACATAGTAAGATTACACAACAGAGTTTTCCTTCCCCAAGTTTATTTTTTACCATCTAGATAACAATGCGCCCAGTGTTCTGCTGGACACAGGGTCATCAAGTACTTTTTTTCTGTGGGAATTTGAGATCTCTCCTCTACATAACACGTTGTCAAAGCATAATGAAGTCACCAGTGTGACTCCTCCTGGGATCCCCATTCACTCCCCATACTGAATTTTGGACAATTATTTCCAGATTTGGAGTTATGTTGCATTCTGACTTTGATTTTGCACACAGTGTTTTGTTGATCTCTTTGCACTTCCATTCCCACATGAGTTTTGTACATCAGTCCTGCATGAACTGCTGAGACATCATGAAAAACTCAAGTGACTGCAGGATCCTTTTTTCAATGATTGAAGAATTGGGCTGCAAGCCGCTATGGAAGAATTGAAATGTAAAAAAAAAATAATAATAATAGGATTATGGCTTACATCAAACATTGAAATTTGATCTAGTAAAAGAAGTCCTTGCCTACAGCACAGAGGTGTGGGATGACAACCAAGGGCCAAGGCAAGGGCTGTAGCTCACTGCCCATGCCTGCACTGCACCTCCTGTTATCTGTGCACATTGGGAGATACATCCTTGATCCCAAGGGAGAATGATTGGGCTGGAGGTGAAGATAGGATGGTCACACTTTGGCTCTGAGGAACAGCAAAAATGGAGCAAAGTCATGATCTGAACTTTGAAGGAGACATGGCCAAAAAAGTAACTTTTGCCTGATAAAGTCACTTATATGTTAAATTGCATGCTACTGCATATGCTAATACCTTGTACAAAGTGTGTGCTACCACATATGTGACTGTATTACTCAGTTCTTCACCTAGATCATGCCACACGTAAGAGGGAGAGTGGGATAAGATTATGTTTTAGATAAGGAGGGTAGAAATTTAACCTGTTTGGGGGGAAGACAAAAAGACCTTGGAGCCAGTACACAGGCTACTCTCCTCTCTCTACTCCCAGCTGGGCAGGCCTTCCTGGTAAGTTTCATCACATAATAATAGCAATAATAATAGCAATAGCAATATCAATAGCAATAATAATAATAATAATAATAATAATAATAATAATAATAATAATAATAATAATAGTAGTAGTAGTAGTAGTAACGCCTGGGTTAACACGACATTATTGTTCTTGTTGAAGCTCTATCATAGTGCATTTAAGCCTGGCAATTCTGAGGTTTTAGTTCTGTTTCTTCAGGAAACTACTCTGTTCTCCAGTCTGTGATTACAGCAGTTCTTATTGAATGCAACCACATCTATAGAGCTGAATTTTGAAACTGCACTATTTGTGAATCTGTGCTCATGCTTCTTATTTGACACTACCAGGCTTACCGGGCTGAATTTTCAGGAATCAGAAATTAAGGCCAGCTGCACCCAGCGCCTCTGATGTGGGAGGACCAGCTGGAATGCAAGTGTTCATTTTCTGCCAAGTTTCTGTACTCTTAATGCCACACAGAGGTCAGTTTTATGATCTTTGAATGTCTCTTCCATAGGAAATGATTCAATGGATCCTAAGTTACTGTTTAATTTTATCAAAGATACCTCAAGGAACAGATAATATTTGATAATTTATATCAGTATAATTTAGAATCAGCTGTGAGTGAAGAAGAGCAGGAACTCAGCTCAAAACTTGCTCCCTTTTATTAGTTGTGAATTTCTGTCATGAGTTAAAAGACTAAGGCTATGAACAAGCGCGTATCTCTTTTTTTTAAAAAAAGTCCCTTTCCAAATGGTTTCTGACCTTTTGCAAAGCAAACAGACAGCAAGAGACAGAGGAAAATGTTATACGTAGTCACAGATCCTTGGGCAGAAGCAGCTCATTATGGAGCAGGATTTACGTTATGAGGCTGTACATTCATTTTATTCCATTGGAAAAAAAAAAGAAAAAGAAAAAGAAAAAGAAAAAGAAAAAGAAAAAGAAAAAAAGAAAAAGAAAGTGCCAAGAATTCCTAGCAAGGAACTGTGATGGAATCAGAGTCCCTAAAGTCTGCTTGAACAGCCTGAAGGGTCTGGATTTTCAGAGCAGAGTAGTTCAGGGAGTTCTGCAGCAGGTAGTGCTAAACTGCCCTGTTGGTGACACCCTGGGGACTCAGACAGTGAAAAACCTGCTGCAAGCATGACACCAAGTGTATCCTTACCAGGGCAGGACACACCTACCTTACTCCCACAGTCTCCTGGAAGTGACAGAAGAGCTGACTGCTGAGTGCCCAGTTTCTCCTGATGTCCTGATCTCCCTCAGCAGTCCAGGCATGGTCCCTGAAATTTTCCCCCTGAAAGGAGCAAACTGGAAAGACAACACCATGACCTGAGCTGTGGCATTCCCCCTGCATTCCAGAAGTATCTCCACAGCCCAGATGAGAATACTGTCAAGTTCCTTGTGGAACAGAGCCTTTGTCAGAGGTTTGAAATTTCAGGATGTCTCTTTCAAAGTTTTGATATTTGCCTTGCCCCATTTGGGTTTCCTCTGGGCCCGTGCTGAAAAGATGGTGCATGAACGTGTGACAGAACCCATTATTTTAATTTCTCAACGCAGGAGGGGCCACTGAACAGTGATTTCTCTGCTAACAGGTGCAACTTCTCTGTCTGTGGTCTGTGGGAAGATGGATTGATGATTGTTCAATCTTTCTTTGGATCCTCATGAAAGGACACATTGCATAAAGCTGCTGGGACAGTAAGAAAAAAAAACCACTATCAAGCAATCAAAAAACATCCATGAGAGGGCAGCAAACACCCAATACAGGAAACTTCCTTTATCCTTCCAGAAAATTTTCAGGTCAAAAATGATTTACTGAAAAACTTTTGCTAAATACAGCTTGATTTCAGCAGCAAAATCTCAGAACATTTTCCTCCACTAAAGAGACCAAACCCAGAATTAATAAATACCTGAAAAATGCAAAACTACCTTTCTTTTGAGTATTTGATTTTCAATTGCTCTAAAAATAGACATGTTCCTGTTTGACACCACCACACTGGAAAATACTGTAAAAATAGTCATCCAAAAGAATACTTTTACCTTAAAATATTAAACTGAAACATGTAAAATCTCGGTTAGCATACCAGTACTGGTAAATTCACCTTGAGATAGCATTCAGAGATGGTGGGAAATGAAGATATGAAAAGAAATGAGGATGGGTAGAATTTCTTAGGAACACGATTGGACAAAATTTGCTGCAAGATTATCCATTAATAAAAAAGTGAAGTAACTGTATAAACCGAGAAGCTGCTCAGGAGAATCCATACAAGCAGGTGAAACCGAAATACATAAGACATGAATTTTTGAAAATAACAAATTGGAGCATAATTAAAGTGAATCAATAAGTGGGGTAACTTTCTATGAATGAGCTTTTTCTTCTAAGCTATCACTCATATCAAAGCTTTAAAAAATACATGAATCATCATAAAAAACCAGACACGCTGTCCTTACTACCCGAAACACAAGAAACGCACCGAAAAGCGACAGAAACACCAAACCCATTGTGCCTCGGGGAAGGGAAATTCACACAAATCCCGAAATTTTCCGCTCGCGGGCCGCGCCGCAGAGAAAGCGGGGAGGTGGCGGGAGCCAGAAGCAAGCCCCGCCCCCTTCTCTGCAGTCCTCAACCAGGTCGGACCAAACCCCATAAAAGCCGCGGCGCGGGCGGTGCCGGCCCACACCGGCAGTGTCGGCAGCAGCAGCGGGACTCTCGTCATGTCTGGCCGGGGCAAGGGCGGCAAGGGGCTCGGCAAGGGCGGCGCCAAGCGCCACCGCAAGGTGCTGCGCGACAATATCCAGGGCATCACCAAGCCGGCCATCCGCCGCCTGGCTCGGCGCGGCGGTGTCAAGCGCATCTCGGGGCTGATCTACGAGGAGACGCGCGGCGTGCTCAAGGTCTTCCTGGAGAACGTGATCCGCGACGCCGTCACCTACACGGAGCACGCCAAGAGGAAGACGGTCACGGCCATGGACGTGGTCTACGCCCTCAAGCGCCAGGGTCGCACTCTCTACGGCTTCGGCGGCTAAAGCCTCGCTTACTTGCCGGACTGCCGCCACAAAAACCCCAAAGGCTCTTTTAAGAGCCACCCACTTATTCCTTGAAAAGAGCTGTATTACGATGTTACAAGATCTAAATACAAAAATGATGCTGTTAAATCTTTCCTAAGCTGTTAACGTAATGCTACTAATGTTTATGAGAGCTCTCAAATGTGTCAGTTCGCTGTTAACAGGGAATTTGTTAAATGCGGTGGTTCTTTTGAGTTCCAAATCCTCTTATAAAAATTGCTTCGAATGCTCTTTGAATAAATTTGGATGTGTATTTTCGCAATGTCCACCGATTTAAACAATTATGTAAAATGTTATTCCATGACTTGTTTTTAAATTTTGTATTAAACAATTTGAATGAATGCTTCGACTTCGGAAGAATCGGAAAGTTGCGCTGAGGTGAATGTTTTCTTTCTAGTATTTCTATTCCCCTCCCCCCCTCCATTATTTCTTGTCTATGATACATTTACTTTTAAAATAAAAGAGTAAATCCAATACTGTTTTCTCGTGATCATTTGGGGCATGATTGGGAGGAGAGAGGAAGGGATGGGAGGGGACTGGACAGTAAATGCAAATGATGAACCTAGAAATATTTTCTTTTTAATGTATCATAAGAAACTTGGTGTTGATACTTTCGTCAACACAAACAACATTTAAAAAACACAAAAAAGAATCGCAAAAACATTTTTGTTGTACTTCACGACCAAAAGGAAAAAAAAACAAAAACATTTTAACTTTATATGAAACCTTTGAAAATTATTTGGCACGTGCAAACAATGATATCAATGTGGATTTGTGGTCTATTCTGGTTTTCTCACACCTTCATGATTAGCAGAAAATTGAATGGGAGACCAATAGCATCTTTCTTTTCAATTAATGTCAGCAAAAAAAAAGTCAATGGCCTAAGTATTATCATCATCACGATGTTGTCTGATGATATGTAAAGCTTTTCCTTCAGAATTGCCTAGTGAAATTAAAACATGAAAAACTTGAAAATAGTAGCTTAAAAATCATCTCCATCACTGCAGGTTGTTACATGTCATAGCTACAAACGTGTGTTACTGGATTTTTTTTAGTGCCTGTTTCCAGGTACCAGCCTATCTGTGCTTTGTGTCTTAGGGAATAACGTGCCTATTCACGTAAGGAGCTCTGTACCACACTGAAAGAACATTTTCCTTCTTTTGTAACCAGCCCATCATTAAAAATAGCAAACCAAAACAAAGACACAAAGAAAGAAAAGATAAAGTGCCAGTAACGTGCAGAGTTTTGGCCTCTCCGCTGTTTCCCATCTGTCAGGAGGATCGGCAGAGATGCAGAGCGGGAGTAGCAGCAGGGATACGAGCACAGTCTCTGATATTCACGGCCCGCCCCTGGCCCGCACCGAGCGCTTTGCGGAGGGAGCGGGGCCGGGAAGCTCCGGCCGAGCTTCAGCACCGGGCTGGGATCGCACGGCACCCAATGGGAGCGCGTCTCTTGCGACCAATCACAGACGGGGCCGCGCTATAAATTGCGGCGTTGGAAACGCTGGTGAATTCATTTCTCTCTTTGCCTCAGAGGGTTTGTTCCCGGAGCGATGGCGCGCACGAAGCAGACGGCGCGGAAGTCGACGGGCGGCAAGGCGCCCCGCAAGCAGCTGGCCACCAAGGCTGCCCGCAAGAGCGCGCCGGCCACGGGCGGCGTCAAGAAGCCGCACCGCTACCGGCCCGGCACGGTGGCGCTGCGCGAGATCCGGCGCTACCAGAAGTCCACGGAGCTGCTGATCCGCAAGCTGCCCTTCCAGCGGCTGGTGCGCGAGATCGCGCAGGACTTCAAGACCGACCTGCGCTTCCAGAGCTCGGCCGTCATGGCGCTGCAGGAGGCCAGCGAGGCCTACCTGGTGGGGCTCTTCGAGGACACCAACCTGTGCGCCATCCACGCCAAGCGCGTCACCATCATGCCCAAGGACATCCAGCTGGCCCGCCGCATCCGCGGAGAGCGCGCGTAATTCGCTGCCGTAACCCACGCAGACCCAAAGGCTCTTTTAAGAGCCACTACATGCACACTTAAAAGAGCTGTACCGCTGCCTAAAAATTCCCTTGAAAGTCACCCGGGATACTATGCAAAACAGCAAAGTAACAAGTGCTTTAAGAACACTAGTTAGGGGAAGTGTGAGAAATGTCAGTTCAAGGAGGGTGATTCGGGAGCCTCAGGATGGAGGGGTTTACATTCATGTGAGTGAGTGATGTGATACAGCTTTAAAGAGAAAAGGGGGGATGGAGGGGCCTGACAGGGGCACCCCTGTGTCTGGAGTCGACCCGTGCTAAGGAAATCTGCACCCTGAACTCTGCCTGGCTGGTTCAAGGCAAGGGCAGAAACATCCTGTGTTACTGTCCTGTGTCGCTGTCAAACTTACCAGATTGCCTTAAGGGGGCTCCTACCTTGCTCCAGCAATTCTTAATACCGGGAACAAGAATATCCATCACAATTAGTTTTGATTGTGTCACATTTGATAAATATCGTTTTACCGGTGTTAAATAATTGACCACCATACTGATGGCACAGGATTCATGAGGCTTCTTGCAGCACAGAAAAGTAACTGAAAAGGCCAAGAAACTGATAAAAAAGTACTGTAGACAGGAATAACTTACCAAACATTTCCAGATTTGCTACCATAATAATACAGAACTGGGGGGTGGGGGGGAGAGGAAGGTTGTGGGTTTTCGTTTGTTTTGGTTGGGGTTTTTGTTTTGTTTAGCTTTCTTTGTTTGTTTGTTTGTGGAGGGTGTTTTTTTAATAAGTTTTATAAAAATCATGGTGTGAAAATTTATATATTTTTGCCCTTATGAGAGTTAATGTATTTGTCTTTTAACTTGCATTTCTCCAGTAGCGATCACCATATATGATGTGTGCTGAGTTGTCATTTCTTCATGAGTTTCTGGAAGGACAGATATATACACCTGCACTTTTCAGCCTTCTAAGGACCCATCTCTGTTCAAATTCTTACTATGAGGCAAAGTCAGTCTAAGAAGAGTCTGAGAATCAAAAGGAGGAGTTTAAAATTAAACCTCAGATTCATTAATAGCTGATGCTTCTCCAGTTATTTTTGGAATAATCTCCCTTTCTTCTCTCCATCTGCAAAAGAATCACATCTGGTACTTGGGATGCCACAGTCCTGAGGACTGGGGAGCACTTGAAGGCAGCTGTTAGAAGCCAGAGTGGCCGCCTGCTCTTTTTAGAGGCTTCTGGGCCCTGTTTGCCTGCTCAGAGATGCTGAGCTACAGACCCTGTCTGCCACAGGCAGCACTTGGGTGGCTGGGAAAAGAAAGCAGAAAGACTTGCTGAGTTTGTCAGTCAGATAGGATAAAGATTTGTTTGGGGGGCTCTGCCTCTTATCCCTTTTTTAATTTTCTCCCTCCTTTTTCTTCCTCCCACATAAACCCCCCTGAATGAATTTATTGATCGTCATGGCCTGGTTTTGGAACAAGGTTGGAATGGAAGGAGAGTTGTATGGTGAAGCATGATGAAGATTTCTCCTTATATTGATTAAACAACATGAAGTGATGAGAAAATTGTAACTAAAAACCTGGAGAGAGAAGGAAATGTCTCAGTAGGCCATAAAAGTTCCATGTTCTTTTAAAAGTCAGAGAAAAGAATATACAAAAGGATAACCTCTGCCTTTCTTTCTTCCTTCTGCTTCAGTTGAAAGAGAGCATGTTAACACTAACTAGGAAAAATAAATAAACCAATGAACTCTATTATTTCCAACAAGCATCACCATGTTAATGCTCTAAGATCCTATCCAGTCCCTTTTAGCAATTTTACTGGGGGTCACTGAGAGCATATTAACAACATCCCAGTCATAATGAATAATTTCCTCATTCACTTCTGGGAGCAGTTTCCATAGACTGGAATCAGGGAAGGCTCTTTATAGAGCCTGGGTGTGCACTATAAGCAGGCACCAATGACCCCTGCCTCTCTATTTACAGTTGTAACATTTCGAAGGTTTTAGCCTTTTTAACCTGTGTTACCCTCGAACTTGGGCCAGGTCACGAAGTTTGAGTCAGTCATGAATTGCAAGTGTGTAGCAACAACTAGTATCAGGATGGAGGCTACTGAAGTCATAGAGAGTAGGCAGATAAATTGTTAATTTTAATATTATAAAAATAGAGTTCCTTTTAAGCTACACTTAGGGACAGTCTCTGTACTTTTCCAGTAGGAGCATTGCCATATGTAAATTCTCACCCCACTCTGCAAGTGGTGACACACACACAAAAGAATAAAAGATAATAAAACCATTTCAACTAAAGGAGACTCAGAGTAATCATTTAGTACCAGCTGTGAAACAGTTACTATTATTTAATACACCATATAATATTGGAACTGCAGGGAAACATTCCAGATGGTGCTGAGGCAGAGGGGGATGAGAAAGAGATGGATGGATCCGAAATTTATGAATGGAAAAAGAAAATATGAAGGTGTTCATACAGTTATATAACATTTACATAGATGCATTTATATGTACTTTCATACCTACATCACTATGCTATGAGTATTTCTTGTATATACCTTGGTTACCTCGTGGGTATTGTTTCAGAAAAGTACCATATGAATCTTCTTACAGGGTTCCCCACATGCCATACTCAAATACTTGAATTTTAATTTCAGAACAATTTGGCTGGTAACATTTACAGAAGGGTTTTGGACAGGCTGGAGTCCATTGTCAAGGACAGAGGAAAAGATGTGACAGCAAAGAAGCAAAATCAATAGAAATCTCAGTGCTTTATTTGTGAATTTGTAGAAAAGTTGACCTCTCTAAAATACTAAAAGAGTAACAGTCTGTAAGACTTGGCACAACCAGAAATTGAACTAAGGCCAACTGTAATTTCCTGGCTACAAAGTTTTATTGAATCAACTGAATTCTGCTAAGTGTTGGCCTTTGATGTCCCTGTGCACGTTCCTCTCCTGACTCAGTTTTCTTGCCATCAAATACAAACCCCTTGTCTTTAACCACGCTCAGAGCTGCATGAGCCTATTTCCCACAGGCCTCCCCTTGGCTGAATCTGCCAAGCCTGACAGCTGCTTTCTTTTCCTCAGCTGATGGGGCCCCAAGCAGAAGCCACAAAACTTTCTCTGCACCACTGGTCTCCATGTGGTGGGAAAATAGGAGAGGAGACTTGTCAGGAACAACCAGCCACCAGATTCTCTTTGCCTTTCCAGGTACTCATTGGCATCTTCTCCAGCCTATCCTCAGTCTTAACACACATAAACCCACCCACGCCCCCCACCCGAAAGAAAAAAAAGCAATTAGACTAAATTATTGAATTTCTCAATTTTTAATCCTATCATTGAGTTTATAATCTTAGCACTCCTCTTTTAGTCGCATGATGGAGGGAGAGTTGACATATCCAGTTAAAATTTCAAGAGTACATCACAGTAAAAGCATATCTGTATATAATACTTAATAAAACTATATATAAACGTTATAAAACCATACATATTTATATATAAACTACGTAAAACTATATATATATACTTAATAAATACCATAATACTTAATAAAAACCTGTTTGAAACTTGATAATGTCTTTCTTCCAATGCTAACACAGGTTATATCTTCCAGTATGGTTTAAAGTAAAGCTAAACTATTCCAAATAGTTTTTACAGAAAGTGTCAAGCTGGGAGTGGGGGGAGAGGGAAAAGGGGCAGGGAAAAATAGGTGCCAGCTGTCTGACCTAGTATATTTTCCATTTGCTGAATTTGAACAGTCATTTGCTTTGTGCAATTTACTTATTCTGTGCAGTTGAATGGGCTTAGGAAGCACCTCACTAGAACAGCATGCAACCCTGCGAAAACAGGAAAGCAGCTTAAGTACTTAAAATTACTGGGATGCTTACATTAGAATTGGAATAACTTTTGAAAACTTCCGAAACGCTGTCTTTTAAGTATAAGGAAGGCAGTGCTTCAACTCTCTTGTGCAATGTAGTGGCTCTTAAAAGAGCCTTTAGGGTGTGGGAGGAATAATTCAGGACCACAGCGAGTGCAGCCGGGGCTGGGAGCTCAGGCGCGCTCTCCGCGGATGCGGCGGGCCAGCTGGATGTCCTTGGGCATGATGGTGACGCGCTTGGCGTGGATGGCGCACAGGTTGGTGTCCTCGAAGAGCCCCACCAGGTAGGCCTCGCTGGCCTCCTGCAGCGCCATGACGGCCGAGCTCTGGAAGCGCAGGTCGGTCTTGAAGTCCTGCGCGATCTCGCGCACCAGCCGCTGGAAGGGCAGCTTGCGGATCAGCAGCTCCGTGGACTTCTGGTAGCGCCGGATCTCGCGCAGCGCCACCGTGCCGGGCCGGTAGCGGTGCGGCTTCTTGACACCGCCCGTGGCCGGCGCGCTCTTGCGGGCAGCCTTGGTGGCCAGCTGCTTGCGGGGCGCCTTGCCGCCCGTCGACTTCCGCGCCGTCTGCTTCGTGCGCGCCATCGCTGCCGGGACACAACGGGAGCTGTAGGAGCCGAAAGGAGGAAATTGAATAGACTCAGGGTGCTGCCGCAGCCGCTTTTATAGGCTGCACCGCTCCCTGATTGGCTGGCAGGAATGCGGCGCTGCCATTGGGTGATTTCAATTTCGAAAATCCCGCCGCGAGCGCGCCTGCACCAACGGCTGCCCGCGCTCAAACCCCCCCAACCCCCCCCGGTCTCGGCCCCGCCGCTCCTGTTCCAAGGGTGGGCGGTTCGACTCCCTCAAAAATGAGCCCTTTTCCGAGAAATGTTCTAACGGGAAAGGAGAAATGGCAAATTATGCTGATCTTAATGCATAAAAAAATTCATGGTTTTTTTTTTTTTCCTCTAATTAATCTTTTTTTTTTTTTTTTTCTTAAATAGGAATCCCACCAGTATTTTTTGGGCTTGGATTTTCGTTACTATGGGGTGCGTGGAGTTGTGTATTGTGAGGGAGTTTTGGTGGGAGAGGTTGGGTTCCACTTTGTGTAACTTTCATCTGGCAGGGTAAATGTTTTGGAGATCAACATGAATTGCAAATGTAAGTTTTCTAATCCAAAGGAGAGTGGTTTCAAATGACCGGATCTTTCAGCATGCAAAGCATCCTTAGGTTGCTGCTGAATCACAATGTGGTGTAAGGTGATTTTCCTTTTTCCTCACTGTATATATGTGCAATATTTCCCTACTCGGGTGCGCTGTCGTTGGAGCCCGATCGCAGAAGAGCTGCTAGGTGAAAGGCAGGTACTGACACACCTCTGGCACCCTGAATTAAAAGTGTATTCCTAACCCTAAACACAGCGAAAGCACAAAAAATGAATGGTAATTTCCTACACACGACATTCTGAGAACAAAGGGGGCCTTTTTTGAACATTGAGAGGGGACTTAGGGAGGTGATACCTCTAATGTTGCATTACAATCGACGTTATTTAAATATAAATAAGTATCCACTTCTACTGTTTACACAATGAGGGGGAAAATCCTCTCTCAGATGAGATGCCCCCTTAGGTACTTTACAGCCGTCAGCACGAAACAGGGGGCTACGCGTTAAGGTTGCTTGGCCAATTTTTTAGCTTTCTTATCAAGTATATTGCCCTAAACGTAGAACGTTGAAATAACTAAGACGGCTTTCTGTCTATTAGCAGCGAGATTACTCTCTCGACAAGGGGTTAATAGTAATACGATCTTATAATATACCAAAGAGTTAAAAATCTTTAAAATTTGGAAGACTTCAACACGCCACTTATATAGCAACACAGCTCTTTTTCTGTTAAAGTGTGCGGCTCTTAAAAGAGCCTTTTTAATTATTTTGGTAGCGGTCGGACAGGAAGGCGAGGCTTTAACCGCCGAAGCCGTAGAGAGTGCGACCCTGGCGCTTGAGGGCGTAGACCACGTCCATGGCCGTGACCGTCTTCCTCTTGGCGTGCTCCGTGTAGGTGACGGCGTCGCGGATCACGTTCTCTAGGAAGACCTTGAGCACGCCGCGCGTCTCCTCGTAGATCAGCCCCGAGATGCGCTTGACGCCGCCGCGCCGAGCCAGGCGGCGGATGGCAGGCTTGGTGATGCCCTGGATGTTGTCGCGCAGCACCTTGCGGTGGCGCTTGGCGCCGCCCTTGCCGAGCCCCTTGCCGCCCTTGCCCCGGCCAGACATGATGAGAGCCCCACTGCTGCTGCCGACACTGCCGGTGTGGGCCGGCACCGCCCGCGCCGCGGGTTTTATGGGGTTTGGTCCGACCTGGTTGAGGACTGCAGAGGGAGGGGTGGGGTTCCCGCCCCTTTTCCCCGCTGCGTCACCGATGCTGGAGCATCGCTCGCTGTTACCCGTTTAGGGCGCTGTAAAGTCCGGCAAGCAAAGCAAGGAATAAACCCCCTCCAGGAAAAAAATTCCATCGATGTACGTGTTCATACAGTCGGAAAACTTCCCCCCCTCAGATTTGTATAAACCATTTGCATATGTGCGCGTGTTATATTTTGTAGCACTGGCAGGGGTTGGTGTGAATTACTTCAAATTCTCGTTATTTTCATTATGTCTTTTATTAATACTCTTGGTTAATTTGTATTCAAAGTGCTATAAACTTTGTTTCACGATTTTTAATGATTTCAGATCTCTTACCAGCTTTAAATAATTTTTCATAATAATATTAATTTTATTGGTTTCTTTATTTTGATCTTCAGATCCCATTCCTTAAATATTCCAGTTTCACATCAGCAACCTTTTGTCTGTAATCACATATTAACCAGAAGGTGGAATAGAATTTTTAAAATATTATTAATGTTATATTAGTAAGTGACTTCTGCTAATTTTACTCATTTTGCGCTACTGCAGTGGGATAATTTTTGGGTTTTAATTTTTTGCAAAATGACCTTTACTATAACTATAGACTGAAATTTCTGCTCCTTGATTAGCAAAAAAAAAATCACTCTGCTTTTTACTATAGATTAGGCTTTCTGCTTTCTTCCTTCTTTTGTGTGTGGGTGTGTGTGTGGGTGTGGGTGTGTGTGTGTGTGTATGTGTATCAATATTGGAAACAAAAGCTATTCTGTATCATCTTCTGTGAATGTCAGGAGTGGTCTTAGGACATTCCAAATGTCATCATGTAAAAACATCCTGAGCTGGCACAGCTGAAATATTGATCTCAAAATAATGTTTTCTCTTATCCTTTTATGTATTACAGGCAAACATAATTTCTGTGTACTCCTTTAAAGTGTTAAAGTTTAAAAAAATCATTCATTATATACTACTTTGAATTTAGGTCTATATTAGTCAAAAAATATATTGCCAGACATCATATTTTAAGGATATACATGAATAAAATTCTGGAAGTATGTTTGTACTTTCAAACTAACAGTTTTGAATTTAAGTATTGTACAAGTTTTCGTTTTCCTTATTTTCCACCCACTGGCAGCTGGTGCTTCTTCCCCCCTTCAAAATGTTCTGTGTCACTCTCCAGGGCAGAATGGAAATTCCCCAAGCCCTCTGCGGATGAGGCAGGGTGTACAGATCCTGCTTTGCTCTGTATTCATGCCCTGGTCATCTGCCATGCTGAAAACACTGATCTCATCTGGAGGAAAGAAATAAAATCTTCCCTTGCACCGAAAACCTGAGCACTTTTGATGGAGCAGCATATTCCCAATATTCCCACAGGAGAGGAGAGCTTGGAGGAGAAGGGCAGAACCATCAGGAGCTGGAGGAATAAGGCACTGAAAAGAAAACTGTGTTTATTTCAACATCAGGGAGATGGAGGCGTTACCATGGCTTCAGACAAGAGAGCTGCACCAGTGGGTCATCAGATTTCCTCAGAGGATCAGCAAAAACTGACTTTTTCCTGAGCAAGCCAGATGAAAATGAGGGGTGGGGAGGATGGGCCATGTACACGTGAACCAGCTCAATATAACTTGTGAAAACTGGAGAATAAATGGAAAAGTTTGGAGATAGTAACAGGCTAGAGATGATTTCAACCAACCTATTCCCTCCCAGGGACTGGGCAGGGGCAGCAGCATTGATATTGAGCATATAAACACCAGTAATGAGAATTTTGTTTCTATAGTGATTCAACTGTCTGTTGCAAATGCTTTATTATGCTTGGCTGAAATTTCAGTACAGTATCCTTCTGCTAATTAAAAACACAATCTAACATCAAATACGCTCATTAGGAAAATTCGAAATTAAACATTAAACCCTCCTCATGTAATATCTGAAAGAACCTGGATGGAGAGTACTCAACTCCCACAGCATGGAGGTGGGATCAGCTGGGACCTGCCTCCAGCTAGGACTGTAAACTGCACAAGATCTGACTTCTTTGGCAGGACTTGTGCTCCTAAATCCACCCCAGTGGTCTTTGTTCCCTGTCCCCCCATGCCCACACAGCACACCTTCAGTTCAGCACCTAGGCCATGCTAGGAAGCTGTGCTTACTGAAATAGAGCAGCACACACCATTTTGGTAAGAAATGTTTTAAGCACGGAAAGCTCTGGTTTTGAGACTGAGGCACAAAAATCAATATTTGCATGTGTGGATTTAACATTTGGACAGAATCTTCTGGCAGTAGCATAAGTGCAGAAATGCTTTATGCTCTCCAAGGAAAATTAGTAAATGCCACAAATTTTGTTTAATGACTGTTGCACTGATAACTAATTTAGTATTTTCCCTGCCTTTCCCTGCTAATTCAGAGAGTTAGAGGTGGAGAGACCCATTCTCATCTTTTGATTTAACCACTGCAGCTGGTCAGAGATAAGAGTTTGGGCTGTTGCCCTGGCTTGGGCTGTTTCCAGCTTCCTTCTTGCTGCCAAATTCGGAAAATACACAGGGACTGATAAATCAAGAAAAGACCTCTGTCATGGTCCAGCATCTTAGGCTGCCTTTTGAGGACGCAGTTTGCCACTCACACAGAGTGGCTTACACATCAGATGATCCATGGAGAGGCAAAATCTTCCAAAAATTGTCTTGTGAGCATGTTGTCCAAGTCACTGCTGGGAGGAAGGCTCGCCTGGCCTCATCCCCATCACTCCATGCACGAGCTGAAGTCTTGCAGGCTTGCTGCACAGCTGGGACAGCTGGTATAGCTGAATAGGTCCAGGAAAAAAAAAGGCTGGAGCAACTCCTAGATCAGGTTTGGGGTTTTGGGAAGTTAATGAAATAACCAAGTTCTTCACATGAAGCTTTTATAGGATATGGGAGAAAAGGGACAGGGTCAATAACCTGTAAGAGGGCCAAGGGCAACCATGTTGAGCAAATTCTGGCCATGGCTGCAGCATTTCTGGCTTCTCTGAGGAAAACACAAAAGAGTGCTCTAACAAACAAGTGTTCCAGGGTGGCCTGTGGAGCTCTGAGCTCAGCAGCACTCCATGCAAATCTGCTCCTGCATTCTGGTAGAGACACAGTAAACAGCAAACCAGCTACTCAGCACCCCCAGCCTGCATGGATGCTCAGGAGCTTTGCTACTCTCAAATCCTTTCTCCTCTTTCTAAACTGGCATTTGATTGAAGCAGCACA